AAGATTCAACAAACATTCATTCTTCATCTACAAAATTGGATCGGCTCGGTTCAACCATCATTTCTAGAATTAGAAGCTGATACGATTGACGAAGGACAATTGAATATTTGTACGGTTGAAGTTGAAAAACTTTAAAATATCACCAACAGGGTTTGAATCTACCCGAGTGAAGCCCAATAGATTTCAAGTTTGTCTCCTTAGCTACTCAAACATAACGTTTGTTGGAAGACTTTATTGTTTTTTCGTTTCATTTTGTAATGGTCAAATGGTCAAAATTGACTTCGTCTTTTGTGGAGATTGAAGGGAATTGGGATTGAATCCCGGCCACAAACGTCTTTTGTCGGGAGACTGTAAATACCCACAATATGTTATGTAAAAATCAGATTGGTGAATGAATGAAATTGAAATTAATTTTGTCATTTCTAAGTTTTAAGTAATTCTTGTGGTAGAATTGCATCCGAGCCATTCAATCAAGCCTTAGATCAAGTTCGATTGTGGAGTGACTCAATTTAAAACAAGGTTTCAAATCTTGCTTCTAGATCCATTCAATCAACCCTTGATCAAGTTCGATTGTGAAGTGCTCCATTCAATCAAAAGCCTTGATCAAGTTCGATGGTGAAATGCTCAATTTAGAACAAGGTTCCAAATCTTGCTTCTAGATTCATTCAATCAAAACCTTGATCAAGTTCGAGGGTGAAATGACTCAATTTAGAACAATTTAGAACAAGGTTCCCCAAGCCTTGATCAAGTTCGATTGTGAAGTGACTCAATTTGGAACAAGTTTCCAAATCTTGTTTCTAGATCTTCGATCGTAAGAGGTAATCTAATTCTAGCCTTATCTCTTGGTTGATCCAAATTTCATATAAAGAGGTATTAATTACTTTGATTCAAGGGTTCTTGCTTCAACAAAAGCTCGGATGCAATTCTACCACAATATGTTATGTAAAAATACCCACAATATGTTAGGTTGAAGCAAGAACCCTTGAATCAAAGTAATTAACACCTCCTTATACGAAATTTGGATCAACCAAGAGATAAGGCTAGAATTAGATTACCTCTTACGATCGAAGATCTGGAAGCAAGATTTGGAACCTTGTTCTAAATTGAGTCCCTTCACAATCGAACTTGATCAAGACTTGATTGAATGGGGAACCTTGTTCTAAATTGAGTCATTTCATCCTCGAACTTGATCAAGGTTTGATTGAATGAATCTAGAAGCAAGATTTGGAACCTTGTTTTAAATTGAGTCACTCTGCAATCGAACTTGATCAAGGCTTGATTGAATAGCTCAATCGAACTTGATCAAGGCTTGATTGAATGGTTCCACAGTCGAACTTGATCAAGGCTTGATTGAATGGTTCCACAATCGAACTTGATCAAGGCTTGATTGAATGGCTCCACAATCGAACTTGATCAAGGCTTGATTGAATGGCTCGGATGCAATTCTACCACAAGAATTGTTTGAAATTTAGAAATGACAAAATTGATGCTCGAATTTCTAAGGAAAGCGTCTCAATTCGAGATCTCAATTTCATTCATTCACCAATCTGATTTTTACCTAACATATTGTGGGTATTTATAGTCTCCCGACAAAAGACGTTTGTGGCCGGGATTCAATCCCAATCCCCTTTAATCTCCCCAAAAGATGAAGTCAATTTTGATCATTTGACTATTACAAAATGAAAATGAAAAAAAAAACAATAAAGTCTTCCAACAAACGTTGATATGTTTGAGTGGCTAAGGAGACAAACTTGAAATCCATTGGGCTTCACTCGTGTAGGTTCAAACCCTGTTGTTGATATTTTAAAGTTTTCCAACTTCAACCGTGCAAATATTTGATGGTTGAACCGAGCCAATCCAATTTTGTAGATAAGAATGAATGTTTGTTGAATTTTCTTTGCCTTGAATCGTGTAATAGGTCCAGTTGGAACATTTGGAACACCGTGATTCCTATTAGATGGTGTTGCGTTTTAGAAGTGTAGGAGGTGGTGCCATGGGACTTGGCCGGTGAGATGAGGGGTTCATAACACTTGCTGTATGTGCCATCTGTTTTTCAATGACCACATTCTTTTGGACTTCTAGTGCTGATACCTTAGCCCAAATTCCAATAATCAACTACTGGATACCCACAACAAAAAATGAAGTTGGTAAATCTTAACACAATCCTTACTCTTCTGCTATCTATTAGACTCGCCCAATATTCACACCATCAACATTCTTCAATGCAACAAACAAGTTGTCCATTTACATAATCTTTATTCTTCTGTTAGCTATTAGAGTCACCCAATCTTCACACCATCAACATTCTTCGTGCTTGGGAGGCCGTTGGATGCTATGGGTTGCAGTTAGATAAAGCTAGAGATGTCCATTTATCCTGCGGAGCTAGGGCCTTGTGGGGGCCCGTCCCAAATTGGGTGGGAAATCCCCGTTTAAATGGGGAAAGGGGAGAGATTTCTTCCTGTTCGATAAACGGGGCTGGGGACGGCGTCCCCATCCCCACCCAATTCCCCTCCCCGCCTCGCCCCTTTCATATATATATATATCCATTACAAATTATAATAAATCAGTTATTTTTTAAAATATTTTCTGTGCCTTACAATTACATTTTCATCACTTTACACATTGTCCATTATTTTATTTCAGCCTATTATACTTTATTTTGGCTAATAAGCCCAAAGTTTGTGAAATTGGGTTCCAATGAACTTGGGTGCTTATTATATATTATAAATATTATTACTTATATACTACAATATCTAAGGTTTTAAGACAATATTTAAGTTAAAACTATGTTGATTTTTTTTTTTTTTTTTTTTTTTTTTTTTTTTTTTTTTTTTTTTTTT